GTCGGTGATCGAAATTGCCTCTGGCCAACGCGTGAAACGATCCACGCAGGTCAGAAGGTAGGTAAAACCTTGTGATGGTGATAACGGTCCCACTATATCTACCTGTACGTGACCGAACCTAGCATTGGGAGTGCCAAAATACCAAGGGGGCTATAGTGTGTCTGGTTACCTTTAATTTCTAGCACGCCAAATAACAACGTGCCCAATGGCGCACATCTTTGTGCATGGATTCCAAGACAAAATGTTGGCTGACTAATGCCGAACTAGCTCGAATATCTAGGCGAGAGATGTTATTTAGGGTGTTGAAAACTACTCTGCGCATCGGTATTGGTACCCAAGGACGAGTTGAGGTGCACGAAACGTCACACCAGATCATGCCCTCGGAAGTGATTAGTGGAAAACGCTGAAGGTTTCAAGAGGACTCCAACGCGTCTTGCAAGTCCGGGACGGAATCCTTGCCGATCAATATAGTGAACTAGAAAAACTAGGGATTCACGGTCTTTTTTGCACTTGGCGGCATTAACGGTAATACCTTGGTGCTGTAGACGTTGAAAAAGCGTGAGTGCACTATATGTTCGGCGGCGTCCTTGCTTGCGACGAGTATGTCGTCTAAATACGAAAAACGAAATTTAATCCGTGAAGGACCTCGTGGATGAAAATTTGAAACTTCTGTGCAGCGTTGCGTAATCTGAATTACATTTGAGGTAATTCAAAAAGGCGAAACGGAGTGATGACCGCGGTCTTAGGCACATCCACCGAGTCAACATGTATTTGGTTATAAGCCGTAACCAAATCAATCTTACTAAAGATTGCCTTACCCTTAAGCCTATCTGTTAACTCGTGGATGTGTGGATAACGATCCGCGATAGTGGAACTATTAAGTCCACGAAAATCCCCGCACGGGCGCTGTTCTCCTGCGGCCTTGTTAATAATAATAACAATAATTGTGTATTTCACGGAGCCCCGTGAGGCATGCATAGGCATGATCAAATGTACAACATAATCCTCCGTACAGGAGAGGTCCGAAAGGGGGAAAAAATTGAAGGTCGCAGTGAACATAATTACAAATGGAAAACAGAGTGGACGAGGTATCAGATAAAAAAAGGTTGAGGATGGCGGACTGCTCTAAGAGAGCAACAAGACTTGTTATACCGGACGAATGGTTGGATGATTGGAAACACGACAAGCAGTGAGTAAAATAACAAGAGGCGGCATACAGATCGTTGGACGGAAACCGGCACAAGAGCGGATAGGGTGAAGCAGAACAGAGTGAAACTGTCATGGAATATATATGCACTTCACGTTGTGAAACAGATGAGTTCTGAAGGGTCTTGTTCGATGGTCTCAAAGGCTCCAATCAGCCGTGGATTGATTTGGGTTATTTACGTTAGGCACCATGTGGAGTGGCGAGACCCACCAGCGGTTCAAAGGGCGTATTATACCCACCTTAAGCATTACG